AAGTCTTGAGACCATGCATCACCAGGGTTGTGTGGGTGAATCTATTCCCTGCCTCTCTCCTGGCCTCTAGAGGTTTGTTGGCTGTATCTGGTGTTCCTTGGCTTATAGACATATCCGGCAGGTACCTGCCTGAATGTGAATAAGACATTCTCCCCGTGCATGTCTCTCCAAGCTTCCCCACTCTATAAGGACAGCAGTCATAGTGGAGTAGGGGCCCATTTTACACCAATATGACCTCATCTCAATTAATTATCTCTGCAACAACTCTGAATCCAAATAAGGTCATATTCTGAGTGTTAGGACTTTCACATAAAAATTTTTGGGAGGAATGCAATTCAACTTGAGTCTCCCCAAGGCATTCTTATGCTTTTCTGTTAAAAATAATATTTATTATTTGTTTATTTTTGGCTGTGCTGGGTCTTTGTTGCTGGGCAGGCTTCTCTAGTTTCGGTGCTCCAGCTTCTCACTGCAGTGGCATCTATTGTTCCAGAGCACAGGCTCCAGAGCTCAGGCTCAGTAGTGGTAACACACCAGTTTAGCTGCTCTGCGGGATGTGGAATCAAACTCAAATCTCCTGCATTGGCAGGTGGATTCTTATCCACTGGACCACCAGGGGAGTCCCTCTCCCCCTCTCTCTCTTCTTGAACTCTTTTAGGATCTTCTCTTTTCCCCTAATATTCTGAGATTTCACAAAGATGTGTATTGACCTGATTCTTTTCCTTTCAGTATGCTAGGCACATGGTGTACTATTTAATCCAGAAAGACTTGTTCAAGTCAGAATTTTTTCCTTTGTATTTCTTTTGTAATATTTCTCCCTCATATCCTGTTTGCTCTTTGCAGAAGGCCTATTAATCAGATGTTGAACTATTTGGCTTGATTTTCTAAGTTTCTTACTTCCTATCTCCATCTTTGTTGGCTCTTGCTCCTGGTTCTTTGTTCCTTATTTGTTTCCAATTTTTGACCATGATTTATTTTCCTTGGAACTGTATCTGTGGAAATTCCCCAAGGCCTAGATCGAAGATAAACTCATCCAGAGAGAGGATTTGCATTGCTACAGCCAGTGCTTGATGGCACTGTCGACCTGGAACCATTTTAAGTTCTTGCTATTTTGTTTTTAGGACCAATAAGGAATTCAGACAGAAAAACCACAGCATTGATTATAAAGTGTCTGCATATATTTATAAATATGTTTTTTATAATTTTATTTATCATTTATTTATTTGGGCTGTGCTGGGTCTTTGTTGCTGCTCGGGCTTTTTCTCTAGTCATGGCAAGCGGGGGCTACTCTCTAGTTGCGGTGTGTTGGCTTCGCACTGCGGTGGCTTTTCTTGTTGCGGAGCATGGGCTCTAGGGTGCTCGGGCTTTAGCGGTTGTGGCATGTGGGCTCCATAGTTGCAGTTCCCGGGCTCTGGAGCACAGGCTCAGTAGTTGTGGCACACAAGCTTAGTTGCTCCGTGGCATGTGGGATCTCCCCAGATTAGGGATGGAACTCATGTCTCCAGCATTGGCAGATATACTCTTTACCAGCGAGCCACTGGGGAAGCCCTGTCTGCATATATTTAAAAGAAAAAAGAAAAGTTCTCTAGTAGCTACCTAGGTTTCAGATGAGCAGATTTTCTATGTAGTCCCATAGGGGCAGTTCAGATATAGCATATTTTAAATTCACTCTTAGGTGAGAATATAGTCCTTTGGGGTTCTGACTTTATGGTAGGGCCTTCTATTAGATCTCCAACCCTACAGAGGCCCTGGGTTCTGGCTCCTATGCCACGGTGGCACCCTATGAGGCCACCATGCCTAAATTAAACGTTTAAGCAAATGCCCTCAGGGCAAAACAGGCCTCAGGGCCCAGTTACCTCTCCAGGCACCAGCGTTCACTTAGTCTTCTGGTCCTTAAATAGTCTATTTTCTTGCCAGCTTACATAAATGCCTTTTTAAAATGATCTTTTGGACTTCCCTGCTGGCCCAGTGGTTAAGACTCTGAGCTCCCAATGCAGGGGGCCCAGGTTTGATCCCCGGTCAGGGAACTAGATCCCACATGCTGCAACTAAGACCTGGTGCAGCCAAATAAATGAATAAATATTTAAAAAAAAATAAAAAAAATAAAATGATCTTTTAGGCAAAGGATCTAGAATAGCTAAACCAACTTTGGAAGAGCACAATAAAATGGGAGAAATAATTCTACTTGATATTAAGGCTTACTGTTGCTACAATAATTAAGACAATGTGTCAGTGACAGAAGGACAGACACATAGATCAATGGAACCAGATAGAAAACCCAGAAATAGACCTGCACAAATACGCCCAGCTGGTTTTCCTTTGTATTTTTTTTTTTTAATTTTGGTGGCTCTTCTCTTCCCCAGCCAGGGATTGAGCCTGAGCTCGCAGCAATGAAAGTGCTGAATCCTAACCACAGGACAGCCAGGGAATTCCCAGCCCAACTGATTTTTGACAAAGATGCAAAAGCAATTTAATGGAGAAAGGGTTGCTTTTTCAACAAACAGTCCTGGAGCAATTGGACATCCATTGAAAAAAAAAAAGGAACCCCGACCTAAATGTCACACCTCATACAGCCATTAACAATAAATGGATTATGAAACAAAATTATCTAACTCTTGGAAAATAAGATAGGAGAAAACTATGCGACTCTAGGGCTAGGCAATGTGTGACACAGAAAGTGATGCATTAAAGGACAAGTTCATAAATTGGAACTTAACAAAATTAAAAATGTTTACCCTATGAAAGTTCCAGTTAAGAGGATGAAAAGACAAAAGAAAGACTGGGAGAAACTATTTAGCTGACAAAGTACTTTATCTAGAATATTTAAATAATTCTTAAAACTCAAAGGCAAAAAAATAAACAACCTAATTAAAAAATGGGCAAAAGACATGAATAGATCTTTCAACAAAGAGGATATATAAATGGCAAATAAACACATTAAAATATGTTCAACATCATTAGCCTTTAGGGAAACAAAAATTTAATCCACAACAATATATCACTATATACCTATCAGAATGGCTAATTTTTTTCTTTTAAGTGACAACACCAAATGCTGATGAGGATGTGGAAAAACTGGATTCTTCACATGTTGCTGGTGGGAATCTAAAATGGTATAGCCATTCTGAAAAACAATTTGGCAGTTTCTTACAAAACTAAACATGTTTACTTTACCACCCAGCAATTGCACTCTTGGGCATTTATCTCAGAGCAATGAAAATTTATGTTCGTGCACACCTGCACATGGGCTTTCCCAGCAGCACTAGTGGTAAAGAATCTGCCTACCAATGCAGGAGACATTAGAAACTCGGGTTTGATCCCTGGGTTGGGAAGATCCCCTGGAGGAGGGTGTGGCAACCCACTTCAGTATTCTTGCTTGTAGAATTCCATGGACAGAGGAGCCTGGTGGGCTACAGTCCATAGGGTCACAGAGTTGGACACTACTGATGTGACTTGGCACGATACATGACACAAACCTGCACATGAATGTTCATGGCAGCTTTATCTGTAATAAGCCTAAATTGGAACCTCTCTGTACTTCTTTTTTTGCAACCTTATATGAATCTGGTGGGCATATTTAGCCATTCATGCTTTCAGGACCAATTTCTTCCATTCTATTTGTCTTTAAGGGTTTATAATTTGTTTTCAATTTTTACAAATTTTCATTTCGATGTAGTTTCAGAAGTGGGGCGGGATAAACACATATGATCAATGCATTATGTTTCTAATTGTTTAAAGTTTTTAAATAGGGTTGTGACATTTGGGTAGATCACCCTGGTGGTTTCTTAGAGGATGGTTATAACTGAGGGGCAAGATGAAACAGGAAGATATTATATTTCATTAATTTTAAGAGGCCACTTGGCATTTTTTCTTTTTTTTTCATTTGAACATATAAACTGGGATGTTTGACCAGAACTATTAGCCAGAACAGTCATACTGTATTTGTCATACTGGCTCATAAGAATCAAAATTTGCCAAATAGGTGTCTGAGGCTTGGAAGAAAATTCCAGAGACAGAAAAGGAACATTCCTTTAATAAATGCTGCATCACCAGGCCCTTGATGGCATGCAAAGAGAACCACATTGTGTGGAAATCATGCACATCTGAGTCAAAAAAATGAATCATAACATTTGCTGTCTGTGAGGTTTCAGGAACACTGTTACGTGTTACTCTTTTCTGTTTTCCTTTTTATGTTTTTCCATGGGAGTGAAGTATAAAAAAACCTATACCCATAGAAACATACACTTTCAATAAATATAAAAAATCTAAGTGAAAAAAAAATCGAAGTGATAAGAAAGCATTATGTCACGGTTTACTTGCTTCCTTTTTACTCATCGGGACATAAAGTAATAGTTTTACAACTGGTGACATCCAAGTAAGAGATAATAATCTGAAGTGGGACAGGGAGACAAGGGAAGAGAATACTTGAAATACTAAGAAGGAGAACTTGGTAAATTGTTAGAAGACAGGTGAAGATGAACGGGGAGGAAATCTAAGATAGTTTCCAGGTTTCTGGTTTGGGTAACGGAGTCTACTTGGTAAACTACCTGGGATGGATAGGAGGCGCAGGTTTGGGAAGAGGGAGCCAAATTTACGTTGCGTGAGGGGCTTGTTGGTTGTGTAGATCGGATGACAGGAGCTCTGGTATTTACTTTGGCGCCGGGAGCCTGCGGCTCTGCCTTGATGGATTCAGCCTCTTCAGAGCTGTCTGTCAAAGGCAAGGAGATGAGCTGTAGATCGGCAGGATGCGGGTACCTGGGCCCTGCCTAGATCGCCGAACACCCGCAGCTCCCAGGGCTCGGGAGTCCCGGTCCGGGAGAGCCGGGGGCCCGCCCATCGCTGTTGGAGAAAGCTGCGTGATTGGCTGGAGACCGGGCCGTGGGCGGGCCCGGACGCGAGGAACTGCTCAGCGATTGGCTGGGAGGCACCAAAAAACGTCCAATTCAAACTACTGGAGCCGCCTTTTCAAAGGGTTGGCGCCAAGTTCCACCCCACTTGCTTAGTTAGACAGGTAAGCAAGCCAGAGTTGTATTGGTCAGATCCTCCCGGTGCAGCTCCTTTCCAGAATCAGAAGGAGAAGAGAGCTGTGATTGGCTGATTTTCTGGGGCGGGCACTCTAGGCCTTGTCCGGCCTTCGCTTCGGGGACTAGCGCCCGTCCTGGGCATGGATTGGGCTGCAGGGTTGTCAGCTTGATCCGGGAGGCGTGGCCAGCACTGATAAAGACTGGGGCCGGCGCGGCAACTGCAGTAAGTTCCACCGCAGTTAGAGCTCCGGTGGGCAGCCAGAGGCGGAGTTCGGAGGTGCGGGCGGCTTCACCGCAGCGTTTCCCGATCGGGTGTCTAGCCGCAGACTCCGGAGAGGAAACGGTCCTCTCATCCTTCTCTCGGTGACATGTGAGTTGACTCTGATGTGGGGGGCGCGACACCTCGTTGGCAACTCTCACCCCAGCGCCGGACTCTGCGGGACCGAAAATGGCGCATTGCAGCAGCTGCGGCGGCGCGGGGAACCATCGCTGCGCGCCGCCCCCGGGCCGGGCCATCCACCCGGGAGGGGAGGCGGCACCCCATTCCTGCACTAGCCGCAGCGGGCACCGCACGGGCGAGGCCGGGGCGCGGGGGTCCCACATTCACTGCCCCCTCTCCCCTCGCCTGCGGGACTCCTCAGTCGGGTCTCCGGCGAAGGTGGGGCGTGGAGACACCCGAGAGGGGCTCCAGGCTCTTTCTTGTCACTGATCAAGGCGGTACTTAGGGCTTCTGGAAGGACAGTCATGGGTGCACCTGCCAGTTAGTTGCTTGGGTTGCTCTGCAGCGTCTGCATTTGTGTACACCCCTCAACCCGATCGCAATGAGCAGCCCACTGTTGGTAGTGAGCAAAGCTCCAGAAACTTGTCTGCCAGTTCTCTGGTGAGCAGCTCACAAGGACTCCAGGGGCAGTGGTATGCGATTCCGAGCAGCCATTCATCCCAAGGCCACCCGTAGAGGAGGTGTTTTCCTGTCAGTGAGTCTTAGCCAAGTATTTGGAAGAGAGATAGAGCTGGGGACCACCCCTGCACCTCCACCTTCCCTTAACACATTATGTTTAGTCTCTAATAATCAATTTAGTCATCTGGTCATGGTCATCCCCATATCAATATCCTAAGGGAGAACTATAGCTAGACAAGTGGAAGAACTTCCCATTCTTGCACAGAGTCCTGCCCTGGTCCTAGATGTATTTATGTTGCTTCTCTTCGTGACAAAAAAAGGGAAAGATGTACTTATGTTACATAAGGCTTATAACTAGCCTTGGATATGTTACTCCTGCGTGTTCCCAACTCCCAACAAGTAGTAAGTGAAATGGTCCCTTCCAAAACTTTGTAACTATTTGTATTTGATTTCTACAGTTTTAACTGTATATGGTAGTTTACCTGTTTTGGCCAAGCCCCAGGATGCTCTGGGTTTTCATTTTGGGCAGGGGGAGCCTTCTCTGCTGACTGGTTCCCAGTAGCATCCATGTGGGATGAAGGAAGGAGGTGAGGAAAGCATAGTGACTAGAAGGGTGTCACGAGGTCTCTGACCTTAATCTTGTCATTGGTGCCACCAGCCTGGACCACTTCCAAGACCAAACACCGGCTGCTTCCTACTCACTGAATTTTCCACTTTCATCAGAGAACTAGATTGCTTAGCTCAGTAGTAGCAGAGGAGTCTAGTGGCTTCCAGAGCTCCGTATCTTTCCTTTGCCTCTTTTGTGCCTTAAAGAGGAATGGGAAAATTCTTTTAACTGGGATGAGTCAGGTGTAATCTGCTAAAATAACCTTTCGGAGGGGTTATTCTCTGTCTCTTTAGACTGAAATTTACTTAGAGAGGAGGAATTTTCTGGGTATTAGTTCTATTGTGAATAGTCAAGGCTTTTCCTTTTTGGTGACTTTGTGATGGTTCATCCGTAGTACATTTACTCTTGGACTGCTCTGATGAGGTGTGCTTTGTGAGATTCTGCTTCTGTTTGAGGAGTTCTTGTAATTTCTCTTCTCCAACAAATTTGAGCAATTTCTCTCCTACCTGTGAGTTCTTCCTTGGCAGAGAACAGCTCATGCCTTAGGTTAGACTTTTGAAAATTCTTTAGGATGTGAATTTAGCTTCCATGTGTTGGGAGACATGGAGCGGGATTTATTTGGAGGACTCCATGCTTGATGGTGCTTCCTTGGTGGCTCAGATGGTAAAGAGTCTGCCTGCAATGCAGGAGACCTGGGTTCGATCCCTGATTTGGGAAGATCCCCTGGAGAAAGGAATGGCAACCCACTCCAGTATTCTTGCCTGGGAAATCCCATGGAGAGAGAAGCCTGGAGGGCTACAATCCATGGGGTTGCAAAGAGTTGGACACAACTGAGTGACTAACACTTTCACTTTTTTCATGCTAGATTATTCCCCCACCCTAAGGCTAAGGGAGAAAGAGAATGGTCTCTGTATATATTCAGTGTAAACCAAGAGTTCTCTTTGGGACATAAAGAACTAAGAGAGTTTCCTAGACTTGATGCCAAATCTAGAAAAAGAAGGAACAGAATGTCCCTGATGCCTATACATTGAGAACTGTGTCTAGTATTTTGTTTCCTGCCTAGGCTCTTGAAACAGTCTCACAATTAACACAATTGCTTTGGGCCCTGGTTCTAAGTGAACCTCCAACCTTCTCTGCCAAAAAATGAAGCAAGCAAACAGTTCTGACTCACTCCAACTACAGAGGCCTTTGGTGATTCTCCAAGTCATCCTACAGTGGCCATGATATACTGTAATCACTATGTGAAACATACCAATAACTGACTCCCCTTCAACAGTCTGTCTGCTTGGCCTTTATTTTTATATTCAGCCTTTGCAAAAAAAAAAAAAAAAAAGAGTTGTTAGTCTGTACGCTTGTCCTGAGTGCTTGTTCAGTTGCTCAGTGATGTCTGACTCTTTGCAACCCCATAGACATTCTCTGTCCATGGAATTTTCCAGGCAAGGCTACTGGAGTGGGTTGCCATTTCCTTCTCCAAAGCTTGTCCTGAAGGTTTAGTTTTTTTTACATATAATTCTCCTAACCTGGATTGGAGTTTTCCAGGTTGACTTCTGGCAGGTAGAGAAATGACATTTAGGCTACGGCTGGTCCATTTGTCCCTGTAGCCATTGTGCCAGAGTATGCGTTTGAGTTTGGGTCAGAGGACAGCCCAGCCGAGAGCTCTTGATGCCACCCTCCACCCAGCGTGTCACTGGGCCCCATCAGTTGCAAGATCTTTCGTTTTTTGCCTTGTGTCTCTGTATCGTATCTCCCCACTTGGCATTGCCAAGGAGCTAGACCCCTCCTGTTTGCGTATAACCTTATTATTACCACTGCCATGGTATGGTGGGGTGAGAATGCTCGGGATTCCTTTCTTGTCTCACACACTCTGTGCCCTTCTCTCCAAAGGTCTGCTCCAGCTCAGCCACCCACTGAAGGGGCAGAAGGGGCTGCCCCAGGTGGGGGTCCCCCTGGCCCTCCTCCTAATATGACCAGTAACAGACGACTACAGCAGACCCAGGCACAAGTGGAGGAGGTAGGTGGATAGCTTTTCTCCGAGAGTTTCCAAATCATGGGAGTCTGGAAACTTCACTTTATGTAGAGGGGCAGCTCACGGCTCTGGGAGGCAGGGCACCCTGTAGAGTTAGGCAGGGCAGCCTTAGAGTGCTCTCCCCAGCTCTGGGGGAGCTTAGCCACTCTGTGTTCCCATGCCCTGCTCAGGTGGTGGACATCATGCGTGTAAACGTGGACAAGGTCCTAGAGAGGGACCAGAAGCTGTCAGAGCTGGATGACCGAGCCGACGCTCTGCAGGCAGGTGCATCACAATTTGAGAGCAGCGCTGCCAAGCTAAAGAGAAAGTACTGGTGGAAAAACTGCAAGGTGAATGTTGCCGTCCCCTCCCCATTATTTTCCTGGGTCTCAACGCACAGGAGGCAGGAAAACCCTCAGGTTCCACATCCTCTGCGAAATGTGGAATGGTTCCACATCCTCCGCTGGCTCCTCTCTTGGGAGGAAGTCTTCTTAAGCTGCATTACCTGAGCTGGCCACCAGGGTACGCTAGAGTACTCAGAACCACTCACTGGGGGCCCTGGAGACCTTGAGGAGTCTGGAGGGGTTAGTCAAGCTGCTTTTTCCCAGAGGACCCCTGCAAAATTCTTACCTGTCCCTTCCGGAGACACACCAATGTTGACACAATGGCTGGGGTAGATACATATTTAAATACCTGCAGCTCTTGGGGAATGAGCTGAACACTTTATGATGAACAATGAACCAGATGACTAAAGGTTCAAAGTTTGCATCTCCTATGATGTTCCTTTGAAAGCCTCCAGGTTACAGGAAGAGGGGAAAAGGAGAAGGCTGCAGATGATCTGACGTTTTCGAGAAGCTCCAGCTGTGGTGGAGGGGTTACTGTCTGATTGGGGGTGGGGTGGTACATGGGGGTTGGGAGGCTTCCAGCTGTCCTGGGGGCTGTGTGGCTTCTTCCACTGTTCCCCAGGACTGGGACGGTGCTGCTCTCGCGTCCCCAGCCCTGGGCTCCTTCCCTCCTTCCCCGAACCCAAGGGCTCACTCTTTGTCCATGTTCCCCCAGATGATGATCATGCTGGGAGCCATCTGCGCCATCATCGTGGTAGTTATTGTAAGTAAGTATCGCTGAGGTTGCTGGTGGGGTGAAGAGGTGGGAAGGTCCTGGAGTCTCCTCCCAGCCCTGCCTGCCTGCCTGCCTGCCTGGGGAGTGGGGCTGCTCTGACTGAGGTACGGAGATCAGATCACTGCCAGGGCGGTGGGGAGGGTCATCATTGGGTGTGGGAGGGCAGAAGGGGCTTCCTGAATGGACAAGCCTTCCCTCTGCAGGACTGTGGGGGACTGTGGTCCCTCCTGTTCTGAGGAATTGGGGCTATGCTCTTGTCATCGGCATGGGTTGGAGGGTGACTGTGGGGATGGGACTCCTGCAGCCACACGTGGTGTCTAGTAACCTGATGTCATGTGCCCTCTTGTTGTCTCCTGTCTCTCTCTCTTTGCCATCCGGGACCTCCCGATTCCTGTGTCCAGTCTACTTTTTTGCTTGAGAACGTGCTGCCCCGTCCCTGTTCCCCCCGGCCATCTGAACTCATGTCCCTCTCTCCCTCCGTCTCTCCCCGGCGCTACCCCATCCGCCTTCCTCCACCCCAGCCCCGCTTCGCCATCACCCACTCCTCCTCTTTTGTTGCTTTCATTTGCACGCGATCCCACGACACCGGAAATGCTGCTCATGGTACAGTCTTGAGGTAACTGCCTGGTAAACAATAGCGGGCATCTCCTTCCTCCCCCGTCACGCTCTCAAGTTCCCCCAAAGGGCTGGAGGTGGAGGGCCGAGGAAGGGGCGGAGCTGAGGTGACATGCCCAAGAAGGGGCCAGGACTGGGGGGAGGAGAAGAGGCTTCTGCTGGTGGTGTTGCCAGGAAAGGCCAGGCCACTGGCAGGAGGAGGCTGGGGACAGCTGGGAGAATGTCCCTCACCTGGAGTTCTTCTCTTGGGCCAGGCCTTGGAAGGGAGCCTGGACTGGGCCTGCAGTCCAGCCTGGGCCTGGTGCAGGATGCCTTAAGAAAGTCAAGACTGTTTTTCAGAGGGATGTCCCATCCGTTACTCTTAAGATTTTCTGTCTTCAGGGATCTTACCACCTTTTACTTTGTCCTCCAGTGACCTAGAGGATACATATTCATAGCGAAAAAATGCCAGGACTCCCATTCCCATCCTGGAAGCAGTCCTGCCAGCTCACACCTGGACGGGGCGTTTGTCCACGTTTTCTGTTTTCTGCACCATTCTGTGTTATTCGTGAGGGCGTCAGATAATTTCATTAGCCAGAGTTTGAGACTTTCACTGAATTTTACTGGCATATATAAAGAGAGGATGCCTGTGGGTTATAGAGACACAGCAAGTCCAGGGCCTAACCCGAAAATAACAAGCCTGGAGGAAGTCACTTCTCACCCTCTTGTTCTGAGGTTCCTGTTGCTCTCTCCTGTTGATGGAGGAGGATGAGGGGCTAGAGGTGAGGAGCCCTGGACCCTTGGGGAGTCCTTACCCCCCGATGCACCCCCAGTGAACTTGCTAAAGACAAAGGGGGCCCGGCCATGCTTTGAGTGCTGAGGGAGCCCAGTGCCTGCAGCACCCAGCCCCAGGGTTGAGGTGGATGTCAACAGACAGGCCTGCTTGTGGGTCCTGTGCCGCCTCGGGGCCTCCCCACCCAGAGTGGCCTCTGTTCTTGCTGCAGTTCGTTCCCCTCCCAGAGCACCCCGTCCACCTGGACTCCATGCTGCCTCCTCCCCTCCCCACTGCTCTCTGTGGTGCCACAGACAGTGGGACCCGAGGACAGGGTTGCGCGGCCTGTCTCAGGGGCTAGGGCTGGGCCTCAGGAAAGGCTCTAAGTGGGCCAGACCGGGTGTGAGAGGCGGAGGGCCCACCAGGTCCCCTCATGCCTCCCGTCCAGCCGTCCGCCAGCGGGAGGCAGCAGGGGGCCAGGCTGGGCTGGCTGGCCCTCCATGAAGTAGCATTTCACGACGCACAACCTCCCTGCCTCTCCCTCTGCCCTGACCCCACCTTCCCCTCGTCCTGCCCCAGGGTGGGACGGAAGAGCTGGATGAAGGCAGCCAGTGTACCCCTCTCACGGCCCCCCTCGAAGGCCTCCACTCTCCCCTGGGCTCCCCTTGCCTAACGCAGGGGGTCACCGCCGGAGAAGAACCACCACTGTCCTCGATGTATCCCAAGCCTGGAGCAAACCTGCCCTCCTGGGCCGCCCCGTCACAGGAAATCACTTCTGGGTTCTGCCCCGTCTGTCCCAGAGGTAGTTGGCTCTGTGCTTCTGGGGACGCAGCCCTCCTACTGTCTTTCTCACCCAGCCTGTCCCCTCTTCTGTGTCTTCGCTGTCTCCACCCCTGCACCCCACAGCCATGTGTATGAGCACATATGCAACTGGGGCTTGGCAGCCACGTGAAGCCGAAGCCCCACAGCCCTTGGTTTGCCGTGAGACGGTGCGGGGTCTCCACTGTGTGTCTGTCATTACCTCTCTGTCTTTTTTCCTAACCCCACTCTCCTCCATGTATAGAATAATCACAGATGTACTTCCACCAAAGGCATGTGGCATATTCACCAATTTCCTGTATTCTGAACAAAGGCCAAAAAATACAGCTTCCTACCACTAAAGCGACTCGACTGTTGTTTGGGCTTGGAGTGACCTCGGCGGGGCGGAGGGTGGTGTTTCTCTTTGGTTCCCTTCCCACGGTGCTTTGGGCCGGAAGGATGGCTGACGTGTGCCATCGTCTTCTCGAGATGAAAGGTCTGGGCGTTGGCAGAGGAAGTGGTCTCTGCTCTCAGCCTTCATGCCTGGTGCCACCCGGCGGCTCTTCCGGGTGTGAGTGACAGGAACCCGTGGCAGGAAGCTGAGTGGCATCTCACCGACAGACACCTGCAGGTCTTCTCAGACAGCTGCCGCCATCTCCCCCTAGGTCCTGAGCCAGGCCCTGGGGGACGCGCTCTGCTCCCCACAACCCTCACGCACAGCCATCTGCTGTCAAGTCCAGTGTACTGACCAGACCCGTTTTAGAAATGACTAAAAGGAGCAATCTCTCCCCTGCAGCTGAGGGGGTGAGTGGCATGTAGAGTCCTAAAATACCCAGCAGCCATCCAAAGGGGCAGGAGCTTAACCACAGCTCAGCGTTACACACAGCAGCTGAGACGGGGCCCTGGGGGCCACCTCTGAGGGTCTCTGTTTCACATCTCGGACACTTGGCAGGTACAGTAGCAAGCCTTGGAGGCAGGGCCCCAAGTGGGAAAAGACAGGGAAGTGGAGAAGCTTTGCTTCCAAGAACATGAGGGGCTTTTATTTGGACAGAGTTCAGTGACTGTGTGTGTTTGTCCAGTTCCCACCCTGTCCCACAGTCCTTCCCCTGATCTTTTCTGAATTTTTTTTTTCTGGCATCTTTTCCAGCACCACACCTCTAACCTCCAAGCTGGCTCAGGTCTCAAGCTCTACCCAGACCTCTGCCTTCCTGCCACCCTGCCACCTCTCCACGCTCTCTGCCTTGGTATATCAGTCCAGGGTGTGCAGTGAAGGAGGGCAGGGGCCTGCAGAAATCTGGAGTCAGTGATCCATGCCTTCTTTTTAGTTTCCTTGGGGCCTTTTGGAGTCTGGGACTCGGCTCAGAGCCCTTCTGGGAGAATGTGAATCTCTTGCATTTAAGGCAGGAGAGCGGCTACCCAGAGTGCCTCAAGGTTTTGGGAGACCTTGGTGAGGTAGCTAGGAGGAAACAGGAGGGAACGAGATTGCTGTTAGTGGGGTAACCCCAAGAGCTGGGGTTGGGCTGGCTTTATTCCTGGTCTGGGCGTGGCAGTGCTCAGAGCATTTGATCTGAGGGCAGTCAGGGATAGAACCTATGGTGCCCAGGCGCTTTCTTACCTTGGCGTCTCTGCAGCCCCAGGAACAGTAGGGTCAGGACGAAGAGGATGCTGGCCAGAAGGACTCCCAGGGCTGACTTCTGCTCTGCAGCTGACAGAGGTGTGGAGGGAAATCAGTGGCAAGAATCATCCTGAACCCTCACCCACAGTGTGTGCATACAGAAAGGAGAGAGCATGCTGTCTCTGTGTGTGTGTGTGTGTGTGTGTGTGTGTGTGTGTGTTTCCCTGGCTGAGGAGCTCCTATCAGCTGCTCTCCTGCCCTCACCCAGGGACCAGGCACATGGGGCACTGGGAACTGCTGGGGGTGGATGTCCACTTGTTATTCCACACAGAATCCTCTATCTCTTCCTACCTCGTGACAACAGTTTTCCAAACTGTCTAGCAAGAGAGATTTAGTTTAGGTTAGCAGTTGACCCTGATGCTGGGAAAGATTGAGCGCGGGAGGAGAAGGGGGTGACAGAGGATGAGAAGGTTGGATGGCATCACCGACTTGATGGACATTGAGTTTAAGCAAGCTCCGGGAGTTGCTGATGGACAGGGATGCCTGGCATGCTGCACTCCATGGGGTCACAAAAGAATCGGACACAACCTAGCGACTGAACAAAGTTGTTGACAGTTAAGCTGCAATTTTGTAAATAACTGGGGAGCAATGTTCAGTTCAGTTCAGTCTCTCAGTCGTGTCCGACTCTGCGACCCCATGAATTGCAGCACGCCAGGCCTCCCTGTCCATCACAAACTCCTGGAGTTTTCAAGTCGGTGATGCCATCCAGCCATCTCATCCTCTGTCGTCCCCTTCTCCTCCTGCCCCCAATCCCTCCCAGCATCAGGGTCTTTTCCAATGAGTCAACTCTTCACATGAGGTGGCCAAAGTATTGGAGTTTCAGCTTCAGCATCAGTCCTTCCAATGAACACCCAGGACTTATCTTCTTCAGGATGGACTGGTTGGATCTCCTTGCAGTCCAAGGGACTCTCAAGAGTGATGTAAGCTGAGGCAAAATCCCATAAACTTCAGGGACACTTATGGCCTTGCAAGCCACCAAGTAATGCATTTCAAGATGCAAACTCTTTATGGCATAAGACCTTTCCATGTGACATTGTAAAGCAATTTTCCCCAGTTAAAAAATAAAAGTATCAATGTTCAAAAAATAAACTTTTTAATATCCCCAAACATTAAAAACAAAAAAGACCTTTCGATGACATTCTGTGGCTTCAGGATAAAGTTCAGCTAGAGGCCTGTTGTTATTTGCCCACCAATAGCAGCAGGGGGGTTAGAGCTATAGAGAAACCAGGCGATCTATTGTTCATGTTTTCGGTTTTACCATTTCCTAGGCAGACAACCTTGACTAGACATCTGTAAGTGCCCATTACATCTGTGCGCTATGTTGCTTCAGTTGTGTCCGACTCTTTGCGACCCTCTGGACTGTAGTCTGTTACTCATCTCTAAAATGGGAGCTGTGAGAATGTGTGCTGGCTCATGTCTTGAGTGCTCAGCGCAGTGCTGGTTCAGTCCTGAATAAATACAATCACCTCTCAAGCTTCGTGGCCACAGACCCCTTCCTCGCACGCCCTTGCCCCTAGCCGTGCAGGCCCCGGTTCTTTTAGGTTGTTCTATAATGAGGCTGTCACATGCGCGTTCCTTCTGTCCTGGTGTTCCTGGCCCTCTGAGCCTCGAAGGCCTCCCCCTACCCCGGGGGGGTCATCTGCCCTGATGGCCTAGTCTGTCCCTCCAGCTCCTCGAGGGCAGGATGAGGGACTGCTCAGCCCTGGTCTCCAGCTCTCAGCAGTGCCTACGTGCCTGCTACCCCAGGACCCAGGGGATAATAAAAGACTCGGGGGACATGTGGTTGGACCTCTGGAGGCCCCCACCTTGGGAAAGCAGCAGCTGAGACCATGGGAAGCAGAACTAGACCAGAGGGCAGGAGGCCTGAGCACAGGTGTGGAGGTGGAGAAAGGAGAGCACTGTCATACCTGGTGGGGCAACCCAGGTGTGGGCCCCCAGGGGTTCCTCCAGGGAGACATGGGTGACCTGGCAGGTGTAGGTGGCTCCTGCAGGGCCAGGCTCTGCCGTCAGGGAGGAGGAGATGCTGTAGGTGCCGGCTGGGCTCTGCCGGAGGCTGGAGAGGGAGGCGCCAGAGACGGGGACCGGGGAGCCACCCTGCTCCTCCCGGGTCCAGGTCACAGACACATCCAGGGGGTAGTAGCCAGCAACACTGCAGATGAGGGTGGCTGGCGGGGCTGTGTTCACCAAGCTCAGTCGTACTTTGGGGGAAGCTGGAAGAAAGGAGGAGCCATCAAATCCCACAGGGATCACCGGGACAGCAGAGGAGCCTGGCGCCTTCTCCTCCTGCTGAGCATGAGAGCAGGTTGTGGGGGTGGAAGGTTTCTACGCAGTGAGGTGTGGGGTACATCCTGGAGGCAGGACATAAAGGGGCATGATTCCCACAGGTCACTGAAAAACAACAGCAAAACCAGCTAGAGACTGGCTTGCTTCTTAGCATCACTATCAACCAGTGATTTTTTTTTATTTATTTATTTATTTTTTTTTTAGTTTTATTTTTTTTTTTCATTTATTTTTATTAGTTGGAGGCTAATTACTTTACAATATTGTAGTGGTTTTTGTCATACATTGACATGAATCAGCCATGGATTTACATGTATTCCCCATCCCAATCCCCCTTCCCACCTCCCTCTCCACCCGATTCCTCTGGGTCTTCCCAGTGCACCAGGCCCGAGCACTTGTCTCATGCATCCAGCCTGGGCTGGTGATCTGTTTCACCCTAGATAATATACATGTTTCAATGCTGTTCTCTCGAAACATCCCACCTTTGCCTTCTCCCACAGAGTCCAAAAGTCTATTCTGTACATCTGTGTCTCTCTTTCTAGTTTGCATATAGGGTTATCATTACCATCTTTCTAAATTCCATATATATGTGTTAGTATACTGTATTGGTCTTTATCTTTCTGGCTTACTTCACTCTGTATAATGGGCTCCAGTTTCATCCATCTCATTAGAACTGATTCAAATGAATTCTTTTTAATGGCTGAGTAATATTCCATGGTGTATATGTACCACAGCTTCCTTATCCATTCGTCTGCTGATGGGCATCTAGGTTGCTTCCATGTCCTGGCTATTATAAACAGTGCTGTGATGAACATTGGGGTGCACGTGTCTCTTTCAGATCTGGTTTCCTCGGTGTGTATGCCCAGAAGTGGGATTGCCAGTGATTTTAAATGCGAATGTAAGGTAACATAAGAAAGTCGCTCAGTCGTGTCCGATTCTTTGCGACTCCATGGACTATACAGTCCATGGAATTCTCCAGGCCAGAATATTGGAGTGGGTGGCCTATCCCTTCTCTAGCAGATATTCCTGACCAAGGAATCGAGCTGGGGCCTCCTGTGTTGAAGGTGGATTCTTTACCAGCTGAGCTACGAGGGAAGCTTTGAAACAGTCCTCCCCAGGGCCGGGCGGGGGGCACCCTCTCTGGTGGGTCAGTGGTAAAGAATCCACCTGCCAATGCAGGAGACACGGGTTCGATCCCTAGTCTGGAAAGATTCCCCGTGCCATGGAGCAACTAAGCCCATGAGCCACATCTAGTGAGCTCTTGCTCTAGAGCCTGGGAACCACAACTATTGAGCCCACAAGCAACAACTACTGAAGTTCGCATGCCCTGGAGCCTGTGCTCTGCAACAAGAGAAGCCACCACAAAGAGAGACCTGTGGAGGGCAACTAGAGGAAAGCCCGGGGACCCAGCACAGCCATCAATAATAAATAAAAAGAAACAAAAATTTTTAAAAATTAATAACAAGAAAAAGATACAATCCTTCCTGTCAAGACTGCTCTCACAGCCCCTCCTGGGTTTGCTGCTGCTCCTCCTTAGGATGTGGTCCAGAAGGACTGGGGTGACCGGAGATAGCCAGCTGGGGCAGGGCAGCAGGGTCTTGGGCTGGGACACTTCTCAGTGGAATTATCCTAGAGCCTGATGGGAAACTGAATGGAATTCTCCGAGAGCCTGATGGGAAACTCAATCTGATGCCATCCGTGCTTCTAGGATGGAGAAGGCACTCAGGTTGTGGGAATGCAGTCTGCCTCTCAGCAAAGTGCCCTTGTGTTTGATCCCATTCCGGAAAACAATCTCATAGGCATATTCCTTTCCCTTTCTGCAGCGTCACTGACCCTGGCCTTACCTTGGATGTAGAGCTGGATGACCTGTTGAGCTCGGAACAGGGAGGTGGTGATCTGGCAGATGTAGGCCCCCTCATCCTGTAGAGTGAGGCTGGGTAGCGTGAGGGAGGCATCTCCAGCTGTGAGCAGCTGCTCGGGTTCCAGGGTGGCACCCTCCCGCTTGGCCTGCCCTTGCCCCGTGGTCCAGTGGTATACCAGCTGGCCACTGCCCTTATGCTGCAGCCGCCACTCCACGCTGGTAACGTCCAAACCAGGTGCCACGGAGTAGCCACAGTGTAGGGAGGCTGTGGACCCCAGCAGGAAATTCAGGGATGGCGTCTGTGTGGTCACCTGGAACTCCACTGTGGGAGAAAGTGAAAAGTGTTAGTCACTCAGTCGTGTCTGACTCTTTGAGACCCCATGGACTATAAGCCTGCTAGACTCCTCCGTCCATGGGATTCTCCAGGCAAGAATACTGGAGTGGGCTGCCATTCCCTTCTCCGGGGGATCTTCCTGACCCAGGGATCAAACCCTGGTCTCCTGCATTGCAGGTGGATTCTTTACCGTCTGAGCCGCCAGGGAGAAAGAGGGGTGATTGTGGGCTGCTCCCTCCTTAAGGCCACCTGACCCCTGAGCTGTGGCACACCCGGGGCGTGTTGAGAGACAGCGTGCACATGTGGTACTCTTCACCATTTTGGAGTCACTTACCCCCTGCACAATCTGATGAAAGTTATGGACTAGACAAATTACACATGCAAAAGTATGGGTTACCGTGGACCCTCAGGTAGGAAGGAACTCCTGGAGCAGCCGGCAAAGCTTTTGGAAGCCTGGTTCTTCCACTTACTGGCTCTGTGACCTAGGGCAAGCTACTCAGTGTTGCCATGTGCATGTGCTTAGGGCAAGGCTGCTGAGAAGACGAAAGAAGTCAGAGCTTAAAAAAAGCACATGGTGGTGAAATCTGAGCCAAACATGCTGAACTTCAGTCTAATGAGGAAAAAAAAAGACAACTCCAAGTGGTGGGACATCTACAAGACAGCAGCCGGGACTCAGAAACATCCAGGGGGACTTCCCTGGTGGTCCAGTGGGTACGACTCCACACTCCCAATGCAGGGGGCCTGGGTTCCATCCCTGGTTGGGGAACTAGGTCCTACATGCTGCAACTAAGACCTGGAACAGCCAAATAAATAAATTAAAAGAGAGAGAGATAGTGAACAAATTTTGTGGGCCTGTGTTCCACTCTCATCTTGAAACACCAGATCAGGCTAGCTGCTCCCTGGGAGAGGCTGGTACTCAGCTCATGAAGGCAGCTGTGGACAGTACATGTGAACAGAGTATCACATGTCTTAAGTCCTCAGGTCACCCAACCAGGTGAAAATCATCCCCCTTTGGGGTCTTTGGAAAGAAGAGACTGAGGCCTAGGGAACCCCCTGAGATGACCGATGTGCATGGAGGTGGTCTTGTCCCCTCCCTTCTCCTACTAGTCCCCCATCTCTGGCCCCTTTAAAAAAAATCAAAACTTTCTGCTACTTTTCATTTTCTCACCTGCAGTCCGCACCGTCCCCTGGGGGCTTAGGGGCAGTTTCAGTGTGGGATGCAAGACAGCCTCATTCTCAGCATCCTCAAGAGTCTTCATCACCATGGAGACACCAGGTCCCCCTCCAGATACCTGCACGTTGGTGATGAACCAGGCTGCCATCTCCATGGTGGCCTCTGGCCTGGCCTGGAGGAAATAGCGGGAGATCTCACAGGTCACCTCCTTCCCACTGCAGTCGGCGTGGAGCAGGGCCTCGGCCTGGGGAATCTGTACTGGGTTCACTGTGGAGAGAAGAGGGCAGCACAGATACGGAGTTGGGTAGAGAATACCTGGGCTGATGGGAAGCCAGTGTGGGCGGGTCTACTTGGGAACCAGACTCAGGAACTGGAGGGAGCCCAGAAGGACTGGGGCACAGGGTGGAGGGCTAGTACCTAAGGCCTCGAAAGTAATGAGTGAGTCGTCCTTGGCCAGTGTATCCACTTGGAAATTCGTGAGGCCTTCCAGGGAGCCATCATCTGGCACTGGTACCTGCCTCAGCACCAGCACGGCCTTCACCATGTTCTCACTGCTGGCAAACCCTCCATGGTGCCCACCTTCTTCCATCAGGAAGCAGTCCAGGACCACGTCCACTGCCTGCCATTGCCTTTCTGCTGCAGGGAACAGGCTGGTGTGAGCACCCTCTTGCTCAGAAAGTTACTCCTATACTTACTCCCTGCCCGAAACTGCCAAGTCATCAAGGGTTAATCTTTCTGGTCCCTAGCTACTCTCCTGTTTTACCCTAAAGCAGCTTTCTGAGCAGCACCTGCCTCTCCAGGTATGCACTTCTTGGTGTAAATTATTTCAAGTCCTGGATTTCCCTTGCTCCAGAGGGATTTATGAAACTCTTATTTCCAACAACCCATGAAAAGCTCTCTCTTCCATCAAAAGAATTCTCAGCAAAAGGAAACGAATGAGCAAAGCTGCATTGGGGGAGAAGATGAACCCGGTTGTTGGACGTTGGCAGCCTCTCAGCTTCCCAGTTAGTCCCCAGGGTCTGTTGGTTTTGCGGTATTACCGAGAAGGCCCCTCGTTCCTTGGTTTGGCCCTTTCCACGGAGTTCTCAGCCTCCCTCCCAAGAAAAATTGGTTCTCTCCGTTACGAGCCGCCGAACCTTCCTCTTGTTGGGCTTAGAGGGCCCTTGGAAGCCATTCCTGGCCCTTTACTCTCTCTGGGACCTCGGGGAGGGTGACTACCTGATGCTTCTTGAGCCCAACACACCCTACCAGCCTGTCCACCGGACTCACCGACGTTTGCCGCGCTGGAGAAAGCCAAGCACAGCAATAGGCACCACCCCTCGGCGCCCATGGGGGCTGTTCTCGGGCCCTCCTCCCCCGCCGCCCTTCTTCAGTCCCCCCCGCTGGCCAGGGGTCGGCTGGAGAAGGGGCTCCAAACACCCCTGCCTGGTTGGCCGCCTGGCCCCGTCAGTCCTCTCCGCCTACTTGACTTTCGTTTTCACTTTGAGAAAGTGTTATCGCGGCTGCCTTAGCCGCTAGCTGAAGCCATTGGTGCTGGAGCCAGAGTCTGGTCACTGTTCTTCCTTTTCACCTTCTCACCCGCAAAAGAAATCCCCTGGTGATTTCAGGACCTGACTCTGCTGCGTGTGCCCCTTTGCCCTTTTGCTTCCGATCAGCCCTAAGAAAGTGGAGAGAAAGTACGGGAACGGAGGCAGGTTGGAGGAAGGAAGGGACTGATGACAGATGAAGGCTCCTCAGCAGCTGGGACCTTCTCCCGCTTCCCGTCGGTGCCCTACCTGCCAGCCCCGCCACCACCCCCAGAGGCCCCAGCGCGTCTGCGCCGAAGAAAGCTCCGCCCTCAGATCGTAGGGTGTGCGTATCCTGCGCTCAGGGTGGGCGGGTCCGCTCGCAGGTTGGGCGGGTCTGCGCGGGGAGTGGGCGTGGCCTGTGTTGGGAGATTGAGTTCAGAGCTGGAGAGCTACGCACGCTGTGTTTTCTCATTTTTTTTTTTTTAAATTTTATTGTAGTGGCTTTTGCCATGCTTTGGTATGAATCAGCCATGGATTTACATGTGTTCCCCATCCTGAACCCCCCTCCCACCTCCCTCCCCATCCCATCCCTCTGGGTCATCCCAGTGCACCAGCCCCGAGCACTTGTCTCAAGCATCCAACCTGGACTGGCGACCTGTTTCACACTTGATAATATACATGTTTCGATGCTGTTCTCTCAGCATTATTTCACCAGATTTCTGGACCAAAGGTACAGCACGTGGGCTTTATGAAGGCGGAATGCTTTCTGCCTGGAGCCCCAGCCCCGTTACAGCTCAGGGCTGCAGCTGACCCACCCTGTCTGGAAAAGGCACACAGGATAGGTTCCCACTACTCGTCCCTCTTGAATGCAGAGTTCCAGAGAATAGCAAGGAGAGATAAGAAAGCCTTAAGTGAACAATGCGAAGAAATGGAGGAAAACTATAGAATGGGAAACACTAGAGATCTGTTCAAGAAAATTGGAGATAACAAGGGAACATTTTCTTTTTTTTTTTTTTTTAACAAGGGAACATTTTCATGCAAAGATGGGCACAATAAAGGACAGAAATGGCAAGGACCTAACAAACAGAGGCAGAAGAGATTAAGAAGAGGTGGCAAGAATACACAAAAGAACTGTACAGAAAAGGTCTTAAGGACTTGGATAACCACAATGACGTGGTCACTCTCCTAAAGCCAGGCATTCTGGAGTGTGAAGTCAAGTGGGCCTTAGTAAGCATTAGTATGAGCAAAAACTAGGGGGGAGGTGATGGAATTCCAGCTGAGCTGTTTAAAATCCTAAAAAGATGATGCTGTTAAAGTGCTGCACTCAATATGCCAGAAGATTTGAAAAACTTAGCAATGCCCACAGGACTAGAAAAGGTCAGTTTAACTTCAATCTCAAAGAAAGGCAATGCCAAAGAATGTTCATACTACTGTACACTTGTACTCATTTCACATGCTAGCAAGGTAATGCTCAAAATCCTTCAAGTGAAGTTTCAGCAGTACATGAACCAAGAACTTCCAGATGTATAAGGTGGCTTTAGAAAAGGTAGAGGAACCAGAGAACAAATTGCCAACATCTGTTGGATCATAGAAAAAAGCAAGGGAATTCCAGAAAAGCATCTACTTCTTCTTCATTGACTATGCTAAAGCCTTTGACTGTGTGGATTACAACAAACTGTGGAAAATTATTAAAGAGATGGGAATGCCAGACTGCCTTACCTGTCTCCTGAGAAATCTGTATGCAGGTCAGGAAGTTAGACAACAGTAGCAGTTAGAACGGAACATAGAACAATGGGCTGGTTCAAAGTTGGGAAAGGAGTACATCAAGGCTATATGTTGTCACCCTGCTTGTTTAACTTCTATGCAGAGTACATCATGTGAAGTGCAAGGTTGGATGAATCACAAGCTGGAATCAAGATGGGCAGGAGAAATATCAACAACCTCAGGTATGCATGTGATAACACCCTAATGGAAGAAATTGAAGAGGAACTAAAGAGCCTCTTAATGAAGATAAAAAGGAGAGTGAAAAAGCTGGCTTAAAACTCAGCATTCAAAAAACAAAGATCATGGCATCTGGTCCTATCACTTCATGGCAAATAGGTGGGGAAAAAATGGAAACAGTAACAGATTTTATTTTCTTGGGCTCCAAAATCTTTGTGAACAGTGATTACAGCCTTGAAATTAAAAGATGCTTGCTTCTTGGAAGGAAAGTGAAAGTGAAATTGTGAAAGTGTTAGTCACTCTGTGTGTCCCACTGTTTGTGACCCCTGGACTGTAGCTCACCAGGCTCCTCCATCCATGGAATTCTCCAGGCAAAAATAGTGGAGTGGGTGGCCATACCCTTCTCCAGGGGATCTTCCTGACCCAGCGATCGAACCCGGGTCTCTCACATTGCAGGCAGACTCTTTACCATCTGAGCCACTAGGGACAACAGCAAACAGTGACAAATCTAGACATTGTATTAAAAAGCAGAGACATCACTTTGTCAACAAAGTTCTGTATAGTCAGAGCTATGGTTTTTCTAATAGTCATGTACAGTTTTGAGAGCTGGACTATAAAGAAGGTTGAGCACTGAAGAATTGATGCTTTCAACTTGTGGTGCTAGAGAAGACTCTTGAGAGTCCCTTGGACAGCAAGGAGATCAAATCAGCAGGTCCTAAAGGAAATCAACCCTAAATATTCATTGGAAGGACGGATACTGAAGCACCAATACTTTGGCCACTTGATGTGAAGAGTCGACTCACTGTAAAAGATCCTAATGCTGGGAAAGATTGAAGGTAGGAGAAGAAGTGGGTGACAGAAGATGAGATGGTTGGATAGCATCACCGGCTCAATGGACACGAATTGAGCAAACTCCAGGAGATAGTGAAGGACAGGGGAGCCTGGTGTACTGCAGTCGGTGGGGTCACAAAGAATTGGACATGACTTAGCGACTGAGCAGCAATAGTTTCTCAAGTCTGCACACAGGAAAGGGTCCAGATGAGAGGGTGGTGCTGAAATTCGAGGTGCCCTGTCTTGATCTCCTTGGATGGTCAGTGGGGTGAGGTGGAGGCTAGGACTTGATTGCAGTGATGGCCTTCTCTGAGGAGCACTGGCTCAGAAGTAGGAAGTAGGCTCTGGTTTTCGGTAATCCTCCTGAATGGGGATGGCACTGCCCTCTTCCTCGCTGGGACAGGTATAAGCACAAGGCTCTGCAGGTGCCACTGGACTTCCTCCTGCATCTGCAGAGGAGAATCAGAGGAGAGGTAAAGGGAGAAGGGCTGAGTGAAGGCGGGCTGTCAGGAGGGCCCCAGCAGAGTAGAGGGGAAGAGAGGCGACGGGCTGGTAAAGATAGAGCTGGAGAGGCCCAGAGGTTCCTCTGGGATTGGGTGGCAAAGCCAAGATGGTGGGGCGGGGTGGGGTGCAGGACCTGTATTTTGTCTCTTACTTAATCTCGTACTTAATTTCCTTTGTTGAAGGAGGAACAGGGCTCCGACTATGGTGAAAGCAAGAAACATTCCAGAGAGGAGCACAAAGATGCGGATGCAGTTCGCGCTGCACAGGGACCTTTGGGCTGTGATGGGGTAGGCAGGGGTCACAAAGGGGCTTGGGGGAGGGCCTAGCCCTTGATTCCCCTCAGCCCAGCTCTTCTGCCCCCTTCTCTCCCCTTCCCCATCTTCTTCCCCTACCCCCACCATTGGACCATGTCCTTTCCAATCTCTGGACTCTGCTTCTGTTTCTTCTTTTTATTTATTTCTGGCTATGTCAGATCTTTGTTGCCCTATGGCTTGTGGGATCTTAGTTCTCCCACCAGGGATCAGGCCCGAGTCCCCTGTATTGGAAGCGAGGATTCTTTACCACTCAACTTCCAGGGAAGTCCTTTCTTCCTCTTCTTGTCCCCGCTCCTAGGAGCTTTGTGGCTGGCTTCCCTTCTGAGGGCTTCCCTGGGGGCTCAGATGGTAAAGAATCTGTCTGCCATGTGGGAGACCTGAGTTTGATCCCTGGGTTGTGAAGATCCCCTGGAGAAGGGAATGGCTCCACACTCCAGTGTTCTTGCCTGGAGAATTCCATGGACAGAGGAGCCTGGCGGGCTACAGTCCATGGGGCCGCAAAGAATTGGACGGGACTGAGCAACTTTCCCTTTCCCTTCTGAACCCTCCTGCATGCATTCTCCTCTCTCTCTTGGGGTGGAGAGTGGGGAGAAAACTCACGTGACCAGTGGGTCGAGAGGGTTGGGGCCGGCAACCACCTGGAGTTGGCCAGAGTCTGAGTGTGCCGATCTGTCCTGGCCTCTGGGATCTCTGGAAAAGCAGACGAGTTGGGTAACAGCCAGGGGCCCCGGGGGACACAGGGCAAGGCTGAAGGCCTGGGAGGCCCTGGGGGACATGGGAAGGTGGAGACAGGGTGACAGGAGGCAGCTTACGTGAGGCTGGGTATAGGAGAGGGGGTGCTGGTTGGGATGTGATCAGACCAAGGGTTGCCTGGAATTTACCTTCAGCATAAGGCAAGTGGGAGGGTTGTGGGTGTGGGCCTGGGGCCTGGGCTGGACCATCACACTCCATACAGTCCTTGCCCCTGCACTGCTGGCCCTCGGGACAGGCACACTCCGAGTTAGCCGTGAGGGTGCAGTTTCGAATGAGAAGACCTGGTGACAGAGGAGGGGGAAGGAACACACAGGGTCCACTGGCTTAATCCCCGCTCCAGCCCCATCCCAGGCCCACCTCTAGGGCTGTGCTACCCTTCGCATTCCTGCCTCCCTGCCCCATCCCACCCAGGCCTGCCCCTCCTCCACCGTCACCCAGTGTCTTTGCCAATACTGTCATGGTTATTCAAGAACACCTCGAACCTTTTAGAAACTTCATGGTTCAGAAGTTGAAACAGCTTGCATGATTTTCCCTCTCACTCACCGATGCTTTTGTAACTCCTTACTGAAGTATACTGACCGAGAGGTATTCAGGTCACAAACATCTCATATGAGAACTGGGGCAAATTGGACTCTCTGGTGTAACTAGCATCAGATTAAGAAACAAGATGACCAGTCTTGTTTGTTTCTAGTCACTAAAACTATCACTATCCTTCCCACCAAGAATAGCCACTGACTTCCGGACCTCTTAACACCAGGAGTTAATTTTGCCAGTTTCTGAACTCTGTACGTGGAAGGAAGCCTGTGCATGTCATCTGTGCCTGCTTTTACTCAGCTCTTGGCAAGACTGAGCCATAGTGTTTAGTGTGACTGCAAATCATTCATTCTCACCGTCACATAGTTTTCCATGGTGTGGCTACATCATGACATATCCATCCCTCTACTGTTAACAGGCATTTGAGTAGTTTATAGTTGCTAGCAATTGGGAACTGCTGTGATCTCGGATTGGTGTTTTACCTGTACTGACATCCTCTGCCTTTAAAATAGAGATTGTAGTCCAGTCAGGTGCTAAGTGGCTGCCAATGAGTGATCCTGGGGCAGGAGGGTAGGAAGGGCACTGTGTGGGCTGGGCTCCCAGGTGGTTGGGGGTAAGAAAAGAAGGGTGATTTTGGGGAAGGTGGCACCTGGATGTGGGCCAGGCCTGAGTGGAAGTCTCTGGGGGGGTGTTGCTTAGGGCAGTACACTCATGGGGACCCAGGGAAAGCCGCCCTCACAGGCAAGAGGGGGCTACGGAAAGGGATGTCTGAGGATGCTGGAGACTACCATCAGCAGTTTCCTTAGCACATGCCTTTGGTCAGGAAAGGGTGTGAATTTCTTCTTATCCTTACTCCTTCTCCTCTTTATGCCCCTGTGGCATCTCCTTTCTGAATTCTGACTCGTAATCTCTACTACAACTTGCTTTCCTTGTGGCTTACTGGGAATTGTAAGCCAGCCGGGACAAGGATCTGCAAGGGAAGAGCATTGAAGGGGAAGGGGGAAGGTGGTGGTAGACATGGGGAAGGGTGGGAAAGGTGAAGGAGATACAGGAGGGTACCTGCCAAAAGGGGTGGGAAGGGTTAAAGAAAGAGGGCTGGGATTGGTCAAAGTGAGTGAAGTGCCACTGTTTTCAGTGGAGGCTTCAGGAGCCTGGGAGTTCTCCTCGCCGTGTATAACCTATGCACAGAACCCCATGCTGATTGCAGGCACTCGTCCATCTTACAGATGCAAATACTGAGGTTCAGGGGGAACCAAACCCAGTCGACTTCTTTCCAGTGCCCCTGAGTCCTGCAGCCAGTCCTGCCTGGGTGATTTGGGGCTCCATGGGCTGAACCTCACGGAGGAGGATCGTGGGTTGCACTGGGCGGGAGAGTAGTGAAGGGGGCTGGACAGGCTCAGTACTGGGAAGAGGTCTTCCAGTGGGGCCTGCAGAGTGAGCTGGGGGACTTTGGCTGAAAAAACCAAAACCCAATATTGCTGGGGGTTTAGGCCAAGAAGAGAGACACACCCATGTACAGTCCTATTTGTAAGTAGACTGAGGAATACCTCTTGTGTTTTACAGATGTTACCACTTGACTGTTTTGCAGTGGCAAACCTTGTATTTATTTAAAAGAAAACAGTATTGAAAAAGTTAATCAGACTCAATGCATTTACAGGCAAGTAATATCATACTTGAGTTAAATAGCCCCCAAGTGTGTCCTGCTGGAAAATATCTGTTCAAAGGAACCACTTTCAAGCTACTGATCTATGTACACTGGCACATACGTCATTTCAAAAATTCTAGCTAAAATGGAGAAAGCATGAAAGTGTTCACAACGCAGCTATTTCATTTCTTAATTGTAAAAAAGATGAAATCACAAAATAAAACTCAAGTCGCATATACATTCTCTTTCCTAAATTGGCTTTTGGAGGGGAAAAAAAAAAAGGTTGTGGCCCACTAGCTTGTACTGTTACGTCCTTAGGAAGATGTATTCCAAGTTCCAGAACAAATATGCCCTCTGAGAACACCACCAATTCATCAGTGGGGGAGCGGGTAGGAATGGGGGGTGAGTTGCTCATCTGAAATCTAGGGTCCCAGAGCCACTTCCTGTTTTGCATTGATCGTAGTCATCGACCCCCTCCTCATCAGTCCATCAAACTCTGCTCACCCCTGCCCTGAACCACTTCATCGCAGCATTCCCTGTACATCAACGCGCCTTGCCCAGGGCACCCCAGTTCCCACCATGGGCTCCACTGAAGCCTCAGAAGCTTGGACTCCCCCCCACCCCAACCTTCTTGCTTCTGCACACCCAGCTCTCCATCTTGCTCCCCCAAACACTGGCCCACCTCACCAGAATTACAGTGCCGGCAGCTCTCACAGTGGGGCCGGCTGTGGTGGTCCGGCGTGAAGGAGACCCCCGGTGTGCACGGATTGCATTGAGCCGCTTTTCCGTGCTGCTCGCAGTCTTTGACCAGGAACGTTCCTGTGAGCAGAGTACCAGGGTCAAGTCCCCAGGAAAACCACTCCCCCGCCCTCTCCAAGAGGCTGCCTCTGGGCCACTGCAGTGTTCCTCCCTGCTTCCCTCTGGTCCCAGGCCTGGTCCTGTCTCTCCCCAAGGAGCTGGCCCCTCGCAAGGCTCCCTCTTACCTGGTTCACACGTCTGGCAACACCATCCTCCTTGAGTCCAGTAGTGCTTCTCTGGACAGCTCTTGGGGCCTGGGGTTGCTGAGAGCCCTGCCAGGGTCCCTAGAACCAACAGCCAGAAGGGAAGTGGCCGGGCCATGACTCCTGCCCCCGGGGGAGCTCTTCCTGCACCCCAACTGCTGACTGCGGGCCTCGGGGGGGCAGCAGGCAGGGTGGGGGGAGCTGGCACCTTCCCAGCTGGGCGCTGATGTCTCTTCTTAGCACCTCCAGGGCAGGTCTTCTCGGAGTTGTCCCGAGCTGGTGGCAGGCTGACCTTTGATGCTGTTGAAGCTCTATCGTAGCTGTTTTTTGCTCAGGCAGTCACTGCCACCCCTCCCCCTTTCCTGTGCTGGGTGCTGGGTGCTGGGTGCGGGGCAGGCTCTGACAGAAGACCTGCTATCTTCGGAGATGCCCCTGATGCCCTAGCCTCTTGTGGTCTCTGTCTCTCTTCTGAATTGAATCGTCTCTGCTTGCCGATGTTACCAGGTGTTGGATGTTCACAGGGATCTGCTTCCCGTATTCACACATCTGTACACAGAAATGCCCACCTTTGCCCCCCTGTTCACAGCTGCGTGTCCCCACGCCTACCCCACGTTGCTTCCTACACAGATGTCATCAGTTTATAGAGAAGGGAAACCAGAACTGAATACAGGTGTGCACGCTGTCCTCTGAAACTCTTGGGGGGCGGGGAGGTCACATAATGCTCAGACTTTTTCAGATTTGGGGAAGAAACCAGCCCCATATGACAAATTCATGGGGCTGGGGCATCTCTCACTACCAAGCACAATGTTCCTGCCCCCAGACTATCCACTGTTTTGGTGGGTGGATAACGACTATAACCAGCCTCACGTCAACTGACGTCTGGTTTTACGGTCGAAAGAGTTTGCTTTGGGATTGTTCACAATTGCACCCAAGAGACCTGAACCTGTGTCTGGGCCCTGCTGGGTTGTGTGCCAGGAGCTCACGCATGGCCACTTAACCTTCCTGCCAGGCCTTCCACCCCTTCTACCATCTGTATCCTCCCCTGCCACCACTGGCTGTGTCTGCCCTTGGTCCTGGAGCATCTGAGGGTCTGCTCGCCCAGCTTAGGGCACTTGGGATTAAAGGCTGATCTCTGTTTCCCCTGTATCTGTGGCTCTCCTGGGAAGGCTGATTTGGGGATGTCAGAAACAGTGGAACTTTCCTCTCTTTGAGTCCCAGGAGCACATTGGTCATAGCCTTGTTTCTCCAGGCTATTATTTCACTCCAGGTCTTTGCGTTGTTTCCATTCTGCTCATGAAACCTCACACCCCTGTGGGCTCCTCGGTCAGATCTGTTCTCTGTGTCGCTCTTTGGTTTCCTTTCTCTTCATTTTTTCCATCCCCCTGCCTTTCCCCAACCTCCTCTACTCTTCAGGAGGGTCCTCTTGAGTGGGAAGCCACAGAGGGGTGTGATTTGAAGAGTTGCTTGTGCAAAACCATCCCATTGGCTATATCCAACCAAGTGCCTGAATTCCCCCCTCAGAGAGCGCTGGGGACCTGAGGATTCTGTTGTCAACAGTACCTGCATTCCCAGATTATGGTCTGTATCTTCACTGTTAGTCTTTTTTTTCTTTCCTGCGTGGCTTGCCAGATCTTAGTTCTGAGATCAGGGATTGAAACCCGGGGCCTCAGCAGTGAAAACAAGGAGTCCTAACAACTGGCGTGCCTGCTAATTGCATATCCAATCAGTCATATCCAACTCTTCAGTCATGTCCAGTGGACTGTAGCCAGCCAGGCTCCTCTGTCCATGGGGATTCTCCAGGTAGGAATACTGAAGTGGGTTTCCATGCCCTCCTCCAGGGGATCCTCCTGACCCAGGGGTCCAACCTGCATATCTTACTGTTCTTTATCACTAGCACCACCTGGGAAGCCCCCTAACTACTGGACCACTAGGGAATTACCTTCCCTCTTGGCCTTAAACTTAAAGGCGGCCTCGGAGAGAGATGTAGGGATGGAGGAGATCCTGAAGAATGAGGAGGAGTCGGGGACCTTTAGAGAGAAACTTGCCAAAGGGGGAACTGAGGATGCTGAGAACTAACCGCCTCCACTAGACCCTGGGCTCCCCCACAGGAGGCCTCCTTTTCTCTGGGCCAAGGCCTGTCTATTCCTCTACTCTTCAATCTCTGGGGGTGGCAGGGAGGGACAGGGAGGGCAGGAGCAGAGTCTGCCCGGCTCTGCTGGAGGACCCCTGGCCAGGAGTCAGATTTCTGGCCCTGTCTCCTCTGGACAAATGGAATGACTTTGTCTGCCTTCTGTGCTATTTGCACCAACTTCCGATAGGCCTCGCCTGTCCTGGATCTTGCCCTGGACCGGACAGTCCTTCCTCTTCTCCACTAACCTGTGGGTGTAGCCTGCTGACCTCTCCCCCTCGAGTCCTCCACCACCACTTTCTCTTTTGGGATTCAGCTTCTCCCCACCCCTCAGCTGGTGCCAAGATGCATGGTCTTTTCCCAGCAAGGTCCCTCCCGTTCTTGCATCTCCGGAGACAGAAGTCCTTCACCTCTGGTGACTCTCATCACTCTGGGGAAGGTAATCTGGAGCAAGGGCGGCAGCCTGGCCATCAACTGAGGTTCCCCTTGCTCCGTATCCCTAAACGGGACACCCTGTGTCTTCTGGTATCTTCCGGTGTATTCCGGTAAGGGCAGGTCGCACTTAGAGAGGGAGGAACAGTGCCATGCACTTGCAGGGATTCCTGTGGGTCAGATGTGAAGGTTACTCCTGCTTCTGCTTCCTCTTTTAGCTGAAGCCTTGTTCCTGCCTGTCTGTTCCTGGGTGTTCCCGTACCTCTGCCCTGCCACGGGCCCTGGAACACAAGGCCATCTTGGATTTTCCTCCAGACCGTCTATAAGCAGAAGGCTGTTAGATCTAAAGCTTTCCTGAATCTTTAGATCTCGTGAAGGTACAAGTTAAAATTGCATTTGGATACTCTGGCTCTTGGATGTGGGAAGCCTCTAGAAACTAGAAAGCGCAAGGAGGGACTTCCCTGGTGGCCCAGTGGTTAAAAATCCGCCTTGTAATTCAGGGGATGCAGATTTGATCCCTGGTCTGGGATCTAAGATCCCTGATCTTACATGCCTCGGGGCAACTAAGACTGCACATGGCGACTACTGAGCCCTAGCACCACAATGAAGATCTGACTCAGCCAAATAAATAAATATTAAAAAAGGAAACGAAAAACAAAACAAAAAGCACAAGGGAACAGAGTCTCCCCTGAAGCCTCCGGAAAGAAACAGCCTATCATACTTCAATTTTAGCCAACTGATATCCATTTCTGGCTTTTGACCTTCAGAACTCTGATAGTAAACTTGCGTTCTTTTCAGCTACTGAGTTTGTGGTGATATGTTACAGCAGCCACAGAAAACTACAGCATATAGATCCTCTGGCATTTGCTTGAGATTTACTAGGTGGCCCTGTTGTTGTTGTTCAGTTGCTAAGTCATGTCTGACTTTTTTCAACTCAAGGGATTGTAGCATGCCAGGTTCCTCTGTCCTCTACCATCTCCCAGAGTTCGCTCAGATTCAGGTCCATTGAGTCGGTGATGCTATCTAGCCATCTCATCCTCTGCCACCCACTTCTCCTTCTGCCTTCAATCTTTCCCAGCATCAGGATCTTTTCCAATGAGTCAGCTCTTCTCATCAGGTGGCCAAAGTATTGGAGGTTCAGCTTTAGCATCGGTCATTCCAATGAATATTCAGGGTTGGTTTCCTCTAGGACTGACTGGTTGGAACTCCTTGCAGTCCAAGGGACTCTCAAGAGTCTTCTCCAACACCACAGTTCAAAAGCTTCAATTCTTCAGCGCTCAGCTTTCTTTATAGTCCAACTCTCAAAGCCATACATGACTACTGGAAAAACCATAGCCTTGACTATATGAACCTTTGTTGACAAGGTGGTGTCTCTGCTTTTTAACACGCTGTCTAGGCTTGTCATAGCTTTCCTTCCAAGGAGCAAGCGTCTTTTAATTTCTTGGCTACAGTCAACATCTGCAGTGATTCTGGAGCCCAAGAAAAAAACATCTGTCACTGCCTGTGACCCTCCATACCCACCTAGATAGGAGGATCCCAGGATAAGTGGAGCAAGTGTGTCTTTCAGAATCTCAGACTGGTGGTCTAAAAGCTTCTCTGTCATCTACTACCTGGATCATCTCAGGCGAGTCCCAGGACCTCTCTGAACTGAGTCTGTATCTGTTTGGTGATAATGTCATGTTGGCATAATTAATCTTGACAACATGAATGAAAGGGGCTTCCCAGGTGGTACAGTGATAAAGAATCCACCTGTGATGCAGGAGGGGCAGGAGATGTGGGTTCGATGGGTTGGGAAGATCTGGAGTAGGAAATGGCAACCTGCTCCAGTATTCTTGCCAGAAAAATTACATGACAGAGCCCGGCGGGCCATAGCCCATGGGGTCCCAAAGAGTTGGACACAACTGAGAGACAGCACAGCAGCATATGAATGAAATGCCTTGCCCCAACTCAAGAAACGTTCATTCCTTGCCTTCCTTTCTTGGTGTTTGAGGCTGCGAGTCCCAAGACACGGGATTGAGAGAACAGCCCTTTAACCTGGGAATGAACCGAAGAAGCATGAAAGAGATGAAGACACTGGATGAGCCGACCACTGGGAGTGGCATACGCGCTCCATGTGGTACACTCAGATGGCTCTTGTGCAAAAAAGTGATGCTGCAAGGAGGTGGGGGCCACTTCCCTTCCCTGAGGGCTCCTGCACCCTGGCATTTCCTGATTTCTCTTGCCCACCGAAATGAGTGGCGACTGTACACACACCAGTCTAGGCAGCTCTGTGATTTCCCCAAACTTTCATTGAGTCTGGTAAGTAGCACGGTGAGTTTTGTCCGTAACTTGCCTTCATTCCCCACTCCTGGCCTGTGGTGTGTCCTCTGAGCCTTTACCTCTCACGGCCAGATCACCTCCCAGTGATGTGCTGCAGCCAGCCAGCACTGTCCAGTCAAAGCCCTATTGTTAAATTGTCAAGGATCTTGTGAGATGATTATGCATTAGTAGCTTGAAATTGGCCACAGTGGGAGTACTCACAACCACATAAGTCAGAAAATGCTACAAATTGAGAGAGC